AACTAGAAATTATATGTAAAAAAGTAAAAATACTTTACTAGATAAATTAAATAACCATTATTGATTTATCATAAAAAATTAATATATTAAATTGAAGTAATTAATAATATTTTATACTACTCATTAAAAAACTTCAATTAGATTCAAATCAATTTTTGGTTTGAATTTCTTTAATGAAGATTTATGTTTTAGACCTTTTTTATATTACAAGGAAAATTGAAATAGACATGCAAATATATTATATATAATTAAAATCTTGCGAATGGTTAGTTTGTAGTTTGAATTGAGCATCACTTGAATCAATACTTTACAAATCTTTTGTTTTCACTTGATTATTCGTCCGTTTTTTATCAGAAACTTTTGGCCTTCAAGTAACAATACACTGATTTTAATATTTTTTTTTCAATTCATAACTTATGAAAATATAAAGAGTTTATAAATTAGAAGAATGTGTTTATTAAATGGATGGTAATCTACCTAGTATTTAATAGATTTAATCAATAAAGTAGAATAAAATTAAAGATTGTGTCACCTAAGATGGTCAAGAAGCATACAATATAACTAAGAAGAAATTTATAAGATTATGAATTCTAGATTGAATATTTAATTTTAATTAATTAAGAATAAGATTAAGAGATTTAAAAATTTATAATTTATTATAGAATCATGAAAATTAAAGTTAAATTGATTATGTGAAATGTATATAACTATTTAATATTCTTAGCTTCTGTAGATAATAATAGTGATGCATTATCTTAAGTTAACAATGGATTACAATTATAAAGTGTAACCAAAGATCTATTTATTCTCTAAAAGATTCTTTAAGGTGAACAATAATAATCAAATCATGCTTTTTCAAATATTTAGCATATTGTTCATTTCAGAAAAGAATCTCTTATGCATACTAATTAATCCAAAAAATCTTTCATATGTTTAATAGTTTAAGACGCAAGTGTATTCCACCATTTTTCTTATGCCTTAAAAGCTAATGTCGGCAGAAAATGCTATTTGATGAAATTACACATCAGCCAAAGATTCAATGAATCTTATTTAATCAAAAACTCTTTCTAAATATATGTAATAATTGGTGGATCATCAGGATTCTATTATGGTTCATTTAAAACCAAATTCCATTACAAAAAGAAAGAATGCAGAGAATATTACTATAATTAACAATTAACATAAATCCAACAGGATATATAGAGTATTCAACATAGAGTGTAATCAGTAAAAGCAAATTATAATAAAATGATCGTAAAGAATAAAAGCAGATAAGATTGAGTTCATCGGGGGAGTATTAAGTTTTTTAATGTAGTAACTAATAAAACTGATGATTGATATCTTAAGAAAATTTAGTTAGTTAAAATAGAT